CACCTCGAACCTAGCGGCTGTTTGAGCCGACTCAAAACACACCTCGAACCTAGCGGCTCTTTGAGTCGACTCAAAACACACCTCGAACCTAGCGGCTCTTTGAGTCGACTCAAAACACACCTCGAAGCGAGTGGCGAGGGTGGCAGCAAAATTGGCAGCGAAGTCGATTCCAACCGTTGAGGCGGTTGCTGCGATGAATGCAGCAAACACTGCTGCATACCTGCATAGAGGGGGAATGCCGTTCGTTCAAGCGGGATATACTACTGTGCTGACAGCGGCTGTTAGGAAGAAAAGGGCAGAAGGGCAGAAGGGCCAGGGGAGGAAGAGGGGAGAGAGGGAAGAGAGGGGAGAGAGGGGAGAGAGGGGAGAGAGGGGAGAGAGGGGAGAGAGGGGAGAGAGGGGAGAGAGGGGAGAGAGGGGAGAGAGGGGAGAGAGGGGAGAGAGGGGAGAGAGGGAGCAAGACGCAACTGCTCATTGCCTCGCGGTGCGTTGGTGCATGCTGTGACGACCTCGTCTGTCACCAGCGCTGCAACGAGTGACCGCTTGTGGAGCTGCAGGGAGGAAAGGGAGCGAGAAGGGGAAGAAAGAGGTGGAGCTGGAGGGAACGAGGGAAGCGAGGGAGCAAGAGAGGGGGCGTTGGTGCATGGTGGTGGGATGCGATGCGATGACCTCGTGTGACGCCCGCGATGTGATCAAGGAGGGCAGGTGGGAGAGGGCAGGAGGAAGAGGAGGAGGAGGAGGAGGAGGAGGAGGAGGAGGAGGAGGAGGAGGAGGAGGAGGAGGAGGAGGAGGAGGAGGAGGAGGAGGAGGAGGAGGAGGAGGAGGAGGAGGAGGAGGAGAAGGAGGAGGAGGAGGAGGAGGAGGAGGAGGGACGGACAGTAGAGGGAGCAAGAGGGGGGGCGGTGGTGCATGCTATGATGTGATAAGCTCGTCAAACAGCAAGCAATGCAACCAGAGAGGGGCGCCTGTGAAGCTGGGTGAGGGGTGGTGAGGCGAGGGGTGAGAGGAATAAGGATGGGAAAACCAAGGTGAAGGGGTGGTGAGGGGAGGGTCGGAGGAGGTGGGGAAGGGAGGAAAGGGGGGAAGTCGGGGGAGTGAATGAGCATCTCTGAATGCCAGTGAAAAGGACGCAATCTGTGACTAGACACATGGATGACTAGACACATGGATGACTAGACACATGGATGACTAGACACATGGATGACTAGAAGTTTAACCAATTTAACGATAAGACGAGGCATCCCTGTGCTGATGCTGAAGCAGGAAGCACAGCAAGAAGCATGGCAGGAAGCACAGCAGGAAGCACACAGCTAACCCACCTGGAAGAGAGTGCTGACATCAGCGCTGATGGCATCCACGTTGGACTCTGAGAGCCGGTTCAACAGACCTGACGGAGGAGTGCGGGGTGGGGGGAGGGAGGAGGGGAGAAGGAGGGGAGGAGGGGAAATGACCGGAGGATGGTGGGAGGAGGGGGAGGGGAGGGGGGGGAGAAGGGGGGGGGATGGAAGTGTACTCGGGATGTGGAGATGCCTCCAGGCACACTGACTGATGGCAGCATGGCATTGTCGTACCCACCCCATCAACTCTGAGAGCGGGTTCAAGAGACCTGGGAGGGGAGTGGGTGAGAGGGGATGTGGGTGGGGGGCAGTGTGGGAGGAAGAGATAAAGCAAGCCCTCCCGTTCACTCCTCCTTGCACAGCAAGCGACTGTTGAGTAGACTAAAACGTCTCCTTGAACAGCAAACAAGACAGATCACGCCATTCGCATAAGCCTCGTTGGTTGGTTGTTGAGCAATCCAAAAAGAGCCAGCTCTCTTAAGCCTCTCCCCATCTCCATTGACTGATCTGCAGATCATTGGATTGCCATCATTGCCATCTCCGTTCACTGATCTGCAGATCATCCCTTCCCTCATTGCCATCATTGCCATCTCCATTGACTATTCTCAATTATCCCTTCCCTCGCATCGCAACGTCGGAAACATATCGGGCTTGCAAAGCACGCACCATTACATGATTACATCGACCAACGCTCGATCAAAACATCCACTCCCAGCCGTCAGATCGTGACGTCGAGCTCACCTTTCAGCCGTCCGATCACTCTCTGCTGCTCAGCAGCGTCGTCCTCCTCAGCTGCTCCTCCCACTCTTCTGCTGCCGTAGCTATTATCAAATCTCAGCCGTCAGATCTTGCAACGCAAACCTTTCAGCCGCCGGATCACTCTCTGCCGGTCGGCAGCATCGTCCTCCTCAGCTCGTCCTCAGCCGCTGCTCCCACCGCTCTTCTCAAATGAGGCGGCAGGCACTCCACTGCCTCCCCTGCTTGCGTTCTCATGCTTCTAGAAGATCTCAGCCGTCAAATCATCCAAGCCTCACCTTTCAGCCGCCGGATCACTCGCTGCCGTTCAGCAGCATCGTCCTCCTCAACCGTCCCTCCCGCTGCTCGTCTCAAATGAGGCGGCACGTACTTCACTGCCTCCCCTGCCCTTTGATTCGCACCCACACTCGTGCGCTTGACCCCTTCTGCTGCTGCTGCTTCTTTTCTCCAGCCCTGCTCCTCCTCCCACTCCTCTCCTTCTTCCGCACTTTCCTCTCTTTCTGCACCCTCCCCCTCCTCCCCCTCCTCCCCTTCCTCTCCCTCCTCATATCCATCATCTGACCATGCTCCTTCCTCTCCGAAAGAACCCATGGATCCTTCTTCTTCCTCCTCTTCCTCCACCTCCTCCCCACACTCTCCCTCCTCTCCCTCCTCTCCCTCCTCTCCTTCCTCTCCTTCCTCCCCTTCACTCTCCTCCATCTCATCCTCCTCCTCTTCCTCCTCCCCCTCTTCCACAGACTCATCATCGTCACTATAATCCTCCTCACTAAACCCGTCTAAACCCTCCTCCTCCTCATCATCATCATCCTCAGAGTCCCCTAAACCTCCCCCACCACCCCCCATCCCTCCCCACCCATCCTCATCCCCCTCCTCATCGCTCCCACCAAACCCCAAAAACCCTTCCAACCCATCCTTAGACCCCGGTAAAACCCCGCCTTTCACATTCAGCTTCTTGGCGAGCATCCTCTCCTCCTCCTCCTCCTCAACCACCGTCATCCCTCCGTTCTTCTCCATCTCTAGCATGCGCTCAAAGTTGGTCATTCTCCTCCTCTTCCCCTCCCTCTCCTCCCCACACTTCCCCTCCCTCTCCTCCCCACTCTTCCCCCCCTTCCCCTTTTCCTTCCGCTCACTCTTTCCCTCCTTTTCTTTCCCACTCACTCCTGCCGCTCCTCCCTTTGCCCCATCCCTGGCCTTTCCTAATCGCTCTTCCTTCTTCCCCTTCTTCCCTCCCATTACACCCACGTCGTCCCCTCTCACTGCTTCCTTCTCTCGCCTCCCCACCTCCTGTGCTTTTCTCTTACCTCCAGCCTTCGCCTCACCTCCTAACTCCCCACCTACTAGCTCTCTCCCTCGCTTCTCCTTCCCCGTCTTGCTGCTTAAACCCTTTAACGGGGATATGCGTTCCTCGTTACTGTCACCTCCGCTGCCGCCCAACCCTCTAGCACTTTGGCCTTTTCCCCCTGCTACAGAGCCGCTTTGTCCTGTCCTAACGTCCTCTCTCGTTCCGCCATACTTTCCGCCCACCCTCTCTTCCCCGCCAAAACCTTCCTTCCCCACCTGCGCTTTCCCTACTCCTCCCGCGCCCCCCGCGCCCCCTGAGCCCCCCTCGCCCACTGCCTTCCGCCCCGCCGCGCGCTGTTGCGCCCATTCCTGCCGCTGCTGCTGCTTCTGCTGCCGCTGCTGCCGCCGCTGCTCCTTCCGCGATAAACCCCTTTTGCGCGCGGAGCCCGAAACCCTGCTAGAATCCTCATCTGCGCAGAATGGAAAAAGGGTTTGGGGCGTCTCTCCATGACAAATACAAACCAAGCTTGAAACGGCTTGAAAAAAACGGGGCTTTAAGGTGGGTTGCCTTGAAAACGAATTGGCAATCTGAAACGGGAATTTCCAATGGCAGTCAGTAAGTAGCGCGAACTGACTATTCAGGGTTTAGTGGGACCTATGACGTTCCACGGTTCAGTCACGGAGCGGGAGTGGTTCGTAGGCAGCCTACCAGATAGCGCCACGTCATCATCATCGTCGTCATCGTGCGGTTCTTGGAGCTGCTGCTGGAGGGCGAAGGGCAGCGACGGGCCACGTGGCGCGAATCGGCCTCTCGGGGCCATCTGATACTCCCTAGGTGTGACTAATCAGAAGTGATACTACTGGAAACAGAACGTACAGAGCCTACTAGCGAGATGGGCCACGTGGCGCGAATCGGCCTCTTGGGGTCGTCTGATATACCTAGAACGTGCCGAACTAAGTCGACTGAAGTCGACTAAATGCGATCCTAGGTGTTCCTTTCAAGTCGAGTAAGAATCACATCGGCGTACCGAAGTTTTCTCTGAGTGATATTTCTGCAGACAGATTGGTGCCAAGTGTTTTCTTTTTTTAATCCGCCAGACGCGCATATGGTGTGGACGGAAGAACCAACTTGGCAAACGTACGCGCAACTAGCTCGCACGCCTCGTGGTGAACGCACCTAGTAATACTCGCCTTAACGAAACTCGAATCTCACATCAATACCACATTCAAGGGGCTGGTACGGGGTAGTGACTTGGATTCAGCTACCCATGGTGGAAGCAGCAAACGAGTTAAAACCCGCGGCCCAAATCGTTCAAACGCACTGCGTATGAACTTTGACCCTCAGGCTGTACGAAATACGCTGGAAAATCGCGAGGGCATTTGCTCTCTCAAATTCAACGCTTGTCGTGAACCGTCAGATTTACAAACACACAGTTGACGGATGAGATTACCTTTCGACTGACTGGGGGAAGTGCTTGGCTTACGCGCCGTCAGATGAAAATCTGGAAAAACTGGACGGTTGAAAAACGCAACTTTCAAACGCACTGCGTTTGAAGGCCACGCCTCGCAATTTGGGCCGTGGGTTTTAACAATTGCACGCACCATACGCACCATCTACAGTAAGACTGCACATAAATTTAAGATTCCAAATGAATGTTACAAATGCTTCACCCAGAAGCTTACAACTCTGAAACAATTTCTAAGATTTTAAAACATTGCCCAGTCCTCCCAAAACTTCCTCCGAGATCCACATCTGGCTTCAAATCGCGGCAACGGTGGCCTGGCCGCTGCGCATGCGCGCCAAACTTGCACGCTCACACCTGCCAAAGCCACGTCTTCTCCCAAGGCTTCCAGCTTCCAAGCTCTCGCCTTCTAAACAGTGCCAGCAGCTGCAGCAGCAGCAAGGCTTGCTTCGTACGCCGCCCAGCCAGCCTCCCGATACTTCCTGGCAGCTTCCAGCGGGTCCGCTGCCTTGATAATTCCCCGGCCCACAATTATGATGTCGGACCCTCGCTCCTTGATCACCTGGCCAAGGAGGGGGTTTGGGGAGGGACGGGGTGGGGGGGAGGGAGGGAGGGGGGGGAGGCACAGTGGGTCAGTCAGCCACATTAATCATTCCCCAGCCAACTATGATGATGTCGGACCCTCGCTCCTTGATCACCTGGGCAAGGAGGGGGTTGGGGGGGAGAGGGAGGGGGGTGGCGTCTTGCGCTGCTGCCCCAAGCGTTCTCCCCAGCAGCCAGCTGCACCCCAGGGGTCATGTGCCACACCCCAGCTGCACCCCAGGGGGCGTCCCACAACCCTGCTGCCTCCGCCTGCTTCACCGCTGCTGCTAGCTCTGTGCATGCGCCACTGCTGGCAGCTGCTGCCGCTAGCTCCGCACACGCATGAATGCTCCCCAGTGCTGGAGGCTACTACATACAGGTGCTTACCGCTTGTGGTGTGTTGTACTGCTGGCCCAGTGCATCCCCTCCTGCGGCCAACTGGACCCCCGGCGTCATGTGCACGAGGGTGTCCCACACCCCTGCTGCCTCCGCCTCCTTCACTGCTGCTGCTAGCTCCGCACATGCGCCACTGCTGGCAGCTGCAGCAGTGTCGCCATTCCTCCACCCCCCTGGGTTGATGGAGATGAATCCGATCACGTATTCGGGATCGGTGAGAGCCATTCGCAGCGTGGCTGCAGTGTAAGTGGAGTGGGCCAGCGTGCCCGCAGAACTCATTTCGGCCAAGAGCAGGAGAGAGCCGCCCTGCAAGTAGGAGAGAGGGGGGGAGAGAAGGGGAGATGGATCCGATCACATACTCCGGCATCTGTGAGGGCCATTCGCAGCGTGGCTGCGGTGTAGGTGGAGTGAGCTAGCGTGCCAGCTGAGCTCATTTCGGCCAAGAGCAGGAGAGAGCCGCCCGGGCATGAGGAAAGGGGGGGGAATGAATGAAGGGACACAGCACGGGATAAGTAAGCCGCAGAGCAGTGTCACCGTGCCTCCATGGCTTGGCAGTAGCCCTTACAGTAGCCACCATTTTTTTCTTCTTCATATTTTCCCCTTATAAAACGGTATCGAGTTAAACAGTCATATAATACGAAAGAAACGGTGGGAAAACTGTTTTTCAGGCTGGTTAAAAAAAAGCGGCCGACATTTCCCAAAGTCTGCAAAACAAAAAACGGCGAAATGCGCGGATCTGGCACTTCGTCCAGCGAAATGTGCCAGATGTTGCGGTTTTTTTTGTGGACGAAATGAACGGATCTGACTTTTGAGTCGACTCAAAAGTCGACTCAACATGTCACAATGAACGGATTGTTTCGTTACAATGTCACACAACACCTTCTGGTGGACGAAATGAACGGATCTGACATTTCGGCACCCGGAATGTGCGATCTCGCATTTGGGCGGACGAAATATGCGGATCTGGCGGACGATTAGGTTGCCTACCAAAAAATAAGGAAAAAAAACGTTTGGACTGTTCTATTTTAAAAAACGGCGTTTTTTCCCCAAATCCCTGAAACAAACGGCCGTATGATACGGACCGTGTTTTTCAAAAACCGTATTTTTTAACCTTGGTAGCCGCCGCATCCCCCGCCCATACCTTCTGCTTCAAGCCCTTGATGATTCCTTCCCCCAGCACGCCATGCGCGTTGATGGTACCTTACCGTTCTCTTACACCCCCATACACCTTGTGAGTAGGACCCAAAGTAGCCCGGTACCTTACCGATCTTTTATTCCCCCCATACAGCTTGGGAGCAGCCCCCCGAACTAGCTCCGCCCCACCCCTACCGTCTACTTCAGCCCCTTCGTGATGCCTGGCCCCGGCATGCCATGCACGTTGATGATGTATCCATGGCCCTTGCCGTACCTTCACGACCACCATGCAGGTTATACCCCCACCAAACCCATACCTTCTGCTTGAGCCCCTTGATGATGCCTGGCCCCGGCACGCCATGCGCGTTGACGATGTCAGCCCACTCGGAGATCTTGTAGATGCCGCTGCAGCGATGAGGGGGGGGCGACGGGGAGAGGGGGATGAGGGGGAGAGGGACAACAAGGAGGAAAGAGGCACATACGCTATCAGCCCACTCGGAGATTTTGTAGATGCCGCTGCAGGGACGAGGGGAGGGGGGCGATGGGGAAAGAGAAGGGTGCGGGGAGGAATACTGTCAGGCAGGCAGGTGGGGCACAGCCGTAATCCCCTCAACCCGTGCCTATCTCATGTGTTGAGCAGCTTAACGCAAATCTACGCGACACCTTCAAGATGTGTCTCAGTCGTGATCCCAACGAATGCCCGACCATCGAAGAGATCCTCAATCACTCGTATGCGTGCGCGTCCTCCAACCATGCCCCGCATGACTTTTGAGTCGACTCAAAAGTGCGCGTCCTCCAACCATGCCCCGCACGACTTTTGAGTCGACTCAAAAGTGCGCGTCCTCCAACCATGCCCCGCATGCTGCCACCGCCTCTGCTGTGCGACCACCTCAAGCCAACGTGTGCTTGAGTTGGTGTCGCCAACGTGTGCTTGAGGTGGTTGCAAAGCAGAGGCGACGACAGCATACGGGGCAAGCTTGGAGGATGCGCTCGCATACGGGTGGTTGAGTAGCTCTTCGATGGTGGGCCGTTTGATGGGATCACGATTGAGGCAGATCTTCACGGTGCTGCGAAGATTCGCGTTGCGCTGCATATGAGGATTCGCGCTTCGCTGCACATGAGGTAGGCACGGGGTGAGAGGATGACAATCGGAGGGACGGCGCATGGTAACCGCATTGTTCTCGCCCGCCGTATTGCATGGTAACTGCATTATTCTCACCCGCCGTACTGCATGGAAACCGCAGTATTACTCACCCGCCGTACTGCATGGTAACCGCATTATTCTCACCTGCCGTACTGCATGGTAACCGCATTATTACTCACCCGCCGTACTGCATGGTAACCGCATTATTACTCACCCGCCGTACTGCATGGAAACCGCATTATTACTCACCCGCTGTACTGCATGGTAACCGTGTTGCCAATGTCTGCAAACTTGCGGTCCTCAAACACCAAAAAGTCCAGGCGGGTGGCGATCTGCATGTGGTGAGAGAGAAGGGGTTGGGGGGGGGAAGGGATGCGACGAGCAGAGCGGAGAGAGAGCAGAGAGAGCAGTGAGATCAGTGAGAAGGAAGGAGAGAGGGAGCAGAGGAAGGGAGCCACCACTGCTCGTCACCAAACAAAGCCACTCAGCACCGCACAGCACCGCATACCACTGCCACACAGCACCACTCACCTCTCGGATTCTCTTGCCGAACTCAGGAGTGAAATCAGGCAGAATGTCCACGTGGGTTTTGAGCACGCAGATCTCAGAGCCAATCTGTGTAAGGGTGTGCACACCGTGGTTTGGGGGATACGGGGGGGAAAAGGGTGGAACAAGCAGGGTTTAGGCGGGCAGCGATGGCAGAATGTCCACGTGGTTCTTGAGCACGCAGCTCTCAGACCCGATCTGCAAAAGAGGGAAAGGGAGCGGAAGTTAGGTGGGCAAGGGAGTGGGAGTTCGGTGGGAAAGGGAGTGGGAGTTAGGAGGGCAAGGGGGATAAGAGGGGTTTAGATGGGCAGAGCGATGGGGCATGGCAGAGTGTCCACATGCATCTTGAGCGCGCAGATCTCAGACCGGATCTGACAAGAACGAGGAAAAGAAAAGGAACGGGGAGAGGGCGAGGAAGAGGAGCGAGAAGAGGGGGCAAGGGTGTGGAGAGGTATATTTTTTAGGCGCCTTAAAAATAGACTCCTCGTCACACATGAAGAGGAGCGAGAAGAGGAAGCAGGGGTGGGGGGGGGGGGGAAGACGGGCCGTGGCAGAGTGGTCAGATCAGATGGGTGCCGCCGAGACCGCAAAAGAAAAATCAAGCGAGCCTGCATTCAATTAAGTTCACAACTTCACAAAACGCGTGGTTTTGGGATAGCTTAGCGCCGGTACACACGGGTTTTCGGGTTCAGGGTTTCGGAGTTAGGGTGTTCGGGATTGGTGGAGAGGAGGGGGAAGGGGGGAAGGGGCGTACAAAAGTGGGGGGGAAAGGAGAACATTGGGAAAAAGGCTTCATTTAACCATTACGGCGTTGCATGTCGCTGGAAATTGGCAGGGTTTCAGCGTTATATGAGTGGAAACCTTGGCCTATTCTCTCCTTCCCCTTCCACCCCCTGTCCTCCCCCTTGCCCTTCCGTCAGCCTCCCCCCCACCACCTTCATCCCCCACAACCCCTATTTTCCCCTCCCCTCACCCCCCACCCCCCCTCCCACTCCTTCTCCCCCCAAGTACTTCCCCCTACTCCCCCCTCGCCCCTTTCCTCTACCCCCAGCCTCTCACCGTTTCCGCCAGCTTGAGCAGTTCTTCCGCCGACTCCACGTCAGCAGCCACCGACAGGTTTGTCTTTTTGCGCTCCATGATCTCCCACAGCCGCCGCCCCACCTCGTTCTTCGCCAGGTCCGCGCGAGCGGCGTACGACTTTCGCGAAACCACAGCTGGCGAAGGGGCGGCTGTTACCGGGGAAACTGTCGCAGCAGGCGCGGGGGCAGCGCCGGGATTCGCGGTTTGATTTTCCGCGATGAACTTCGTAACGGACTCTGCCACGTCATTCGTCAGCTTGCCGTGCTTGACCAATGCTGTCACGACATGTGTCAAGGTGAGCGCCGCGTGGAGCCGCAGACCCCGCGCCGCCAGATGGGCGGCGCCGCCTTGTTCCCTATCGATAAGGACAACCACGTCCGTTACGTTCAACCCGACTTCGTTTAGCGGATCTACGGTTTCCATCACGGACGCTCCGCTTGTAACGAGGTCCTCTATAACGAGGCAGTGCTGGCCGGTTTTGAAGGCCCCTTCGATGGCCTTCCTCGTTCCGTACCCTTTCACCTCCTTTCGCCGCATGACCATGGGCACGTTTCGCGAGAGCGAAATGGCCGTGGCGATGGGTAACGCGGTGTACGGCACGCCGCAAACGACGTCGAATTTCGCAGCGGCGTCGGACTCGCCGACAACGGACGGGCAGACTAACGCCCACATCGCGTCCGCGACCTGCTGCAGAAGATTCGGATACGATACGATCACGCGAAGATCTATGTAAATCGGCGACCAGATTCCGCTCTTGAGTTTGAAATTGCCGAATTTCACGGCTTCGACCTCGTGCAGCGCGAGCACGAGCGCATCGGACGGATCGGCCATCGCGGGAAGCGGGCAGTAGGGGGTTTCGACGAGATCCGACGGTCGAGATTCGTCGCCGGCGAGGACTGTTTGGCTCGATGCGCCGGTCACGGGGGCGGCGCTGGCGGAAGGCTTATTCCGCGCGTGACCGGAAGGGGATTGCGCGAATGGGGCTTGTTGTTCCGCGGGATACGCTTTCGCGAAACCGCAGGTTCCGCGGGAAATAGAGCTCGCGCGCGCGCGCGACAATGCAGGGGAGCGGGACGCGGACTCCGCGTTCGAGGCGGAAGAGGCGCTAGTTCGGGAAGTAAGGAGGCGCGAGGTGGGGAGAGAAGCCATTAACTAAAAGCTAGAAATAGAGGTTGCACTCCATTGAATAGGTTGGGCGGGATGGCCAGAGGTGGGGCGCGGGAGAAAGGGAGGAGTCCGAGCCAAGGGGGGGGGTAGGGGAGAGGGTCTTGGGATTTGGGAGGGGTGACGTGTGCTTGCTGACACGAAACTCCACAACAAAGCTCACTTTGTACTCCTTACAGGCACAGGTCTACGAGGTTTGAGCTTAGAGGGTTTGTAGCAATAGAAACTTCAAAATATAACGAATCACCATTTACGAACAAGCGTCATGGAAAAATATCCCATCATTCATTAGCTTGACATTACTCGATCTTGACCTTCCACATTTTGTGAACCCGAAACCCTTATTCACCACAACTCAGCTGCCACCACGTATGTTCCCCGAAACAATTTTTAAATTCCTCCTCCACTCGACCCGACTCTCCCTCCCCGCTCCTGCAGTGCCACCCATGGCAACGCTTCCCATGCCATGCCAGCGACTGTGCCTGTGTCACATCCTCCTCCCAGTGCTGCTCCCCCTTCACAAAACCCCTCAAAATCCCGAGGTGTAGAAGAATCCATGGCTGGGAAAATAGTGTACTGAATAAAACTGCCCCGAAAATACATGCAGACAGGCTGACTCACCCTGACTCACCCTAGTCCCCCTGTATCTCGTCTCATACCCTTGCCATCTTCACCTAGTTTTCCCTCCCCTCCCTCCTCTCCCCCTTTTCCCCCTCCATCCTCCCCATCCCCACATTGCGCACGGCAATGCTTCCCATGTCTGAGACTGTGCCTCTGAGGTGACTTTTGAGTCGACTCAAAAGTCACTTCACTCTCCCCATCCCCGCAGTGCCCATGGCAATGCTTCCCATGTCTGCGGCAGTGCCTCCGTCTCCTCTCCTCCGCCCAGTGCTCCCACCTTCACCATTTCCCTCCGCTTCCATTGGTGGAGTGGAGTCCATGGCTGAGGTCCTCTTAGTCTAACCTGAAAATCCCCCAGAGAATAAGTGTGGACAGGCCGACTCACCCTTATAGAGAGGGACCAGCTTCCCCCGTCTCACTTCTCACACCCGTGTCTTCTCCCCTTGACTCTCCGTCCCTTCCCTCCTCTCCCCCCTCTCCCTCCCCTTCCTCCTCTCCCTCCCCATCTCCACAGTGCCCGTGGCAATGCCTCCTATGTCTGTGACTGTGCCGCCGTCTCCTCCTACCAGTGCCCGCCCCTTCGCCATTCCCCTCCACATCCTCTGGTGGAGGGGAGGAGGAATCAGCAGACCCATTTGCACCTGCTGCTGCTCCTCTTGCCCCGCCTCCAAGGCCTGAGGTACCACCATCTGGGTCGCCTCCTCCCATGCCCATAGCATCATCTCGCCCTCTTCCCACCCCGTTGTTACCACTCTCGTTGTTGTCACTGTCACTGTCACTGCTGCTACTGCTGCTGCTGCTGCTGCTGCTCTCGCCAAAGGGCCGTTGCTTGTGGAAAATGCAGCACTCTGTATGGGGGACGTGGGGAGGGATAGAAGAGAAGTGTTCCAGAAAAATGGCATCAAGACCAGCCTCACAAGCAGTACCTGCTTTGAGGCGCTTCAAATCAAACATGAGAATTTCTCCTTGTGGAGAATGCAGAATTCTATATCGAGGACGTGGCATGAGTGGGTACATGGATAGAAGTGATGGGTCTTAGTCACAGAACGAGCCAGCTAGACCTGCACAAGCAGGGACTGCGTTTTAAAACGCCTCAAACCACTCAATCTCGTCAAAGGGGTGGTTTCCCTGCAGAAAATGCAGCACTCTGTATAGGGGACGTGGGGATGGATGCAGGATTGGTCTTCAGTCCCCAGTATTCGTGAGCCAAAGCCTGTTTAAAAGGTACTTAAAACCGGGGTCTTGATTGGCTGCGAGGTGGACTGTCTCGCAAGCCAATCGAAATTGAAGGGGATGGGGGAGCGTGAATCGTAAACGAAATTCCAGGGGGCATTGTGGGTTGCGGGGAGGAATAGTGGGGCGCGAATCAGTATGAAAACATTCGAAAACGGGCCTGGGGAAATCGAAATCGAGGGGGGAGGCGGAGAAGGAATGCAGTGGGGGGAAATTTTGCTGGCAAAATGCGGACTTGGGAAGCTGGGAAGGGGGGGGAGGGGGGGGGAAAGGGGGGGAGGGAAATCGTGAGGGTGTTACGCGGGTGCTTGTTGTCTTACTCTTCCCTCACTCCACTGCACTCTCCATCTCAGCTCGGTGATGTAGAAACTCCCTGTTTGTGACCTTGTCAATGTGACGTAACAAAACAGAGACTCACTCTTGGACTTCATCTTGCCCATGTGCTCGTTGTCCACGGTTCCTTCACTCCACTGCACTCTCCGTCTTCGTACAGTTCGAGCAGAACCTAACTGTTAGGTTCTGGTTATGTGTTCATGGTTATGTGCCATAACGAAAACTCACTCTTGGACTTCTTCTTGCCCATGTGCTCGTTGTCCACTGTTCCCTCCGTCCACTGCACTCTCCGTCTCGGCGCCAATCGGATCACCACTTGATCTACCACGGCTGTTTGGACGGCCAAGATTGAATGAACAGCGCATGCACGGCAACAGATTGAGGTGAAAAGGGAATTGGACTGGACGTGCTGATTGGACCACCACTTGATCAATGTGTTGGACGGTCAATGTTGAACGCACAGCAGGGGTATGGACATGCATTGGGATAGAATCGGAAGGAGATGAGACAAGAGCCCCAATCCACTCAAGAGGACAAGGAGAAAAGTCGGATGCAGCACGTTTGTCGGACACAGACCAATCCTTGTAACACGGAAACCTAAGATTTTCCAGGCAAGCGGAAAGACCGTACTTAGAAAGAGGAGGCGGGGGGAGTGGGGAGGAGGAAGAAGGGTGGGAGCAGACACTACAAAAGCGAACCTAAGATTGTCCAGGCAAGCGGCAATGAGGAGAGCTCAACACCTAAGAATTTGGAATTCGAGGCCGAAACGGAATTGTCGTTTCGAGGAGCCTCAAAAACGGAGTGCGCAGCACCGCTGGAATCCGTTACCTGTTTGCTCCGTTATTGTGACCGCAGCTGCACTCCGTGTAGCCGTTTGGTTAGCCATGCTGCGAGGTCACGTCAGGAACGGACAATAACGGCAGGACAAGCGTGACGAGGTGCCTAAGCGAGCGACTTTTCAGTCGACTCAAAAGTCACCTCTAAGCGTGTCTGATTTCAGCAAAACGGACACGAGGAGTATGAAAAGAGTACGAGGAAGAGTTTCTACGTCTCGACTAGATCGGACAATCGAAACCAATAGGGTCATTTAGCTAGTATTGAAAGGAAATTCTAGCTAGCTCGGCAATTACGACTGACCTCTCAAGAGACTATGCGTGAGCCACCAATATTTATTCCCGGTATAACGTTTGTATTCTGTAGCAGAACGGAATCCTGTACTGTAGATGTTTGCGAAGAGACACCACGATTTTTTGGGCAGTTTCGTCAGGGCTGCAAACCTCGCCAGCACGAGCACTTTCCCGCGCTTGCTTCGTTCGCGCTTCCGAACAAGCCAACCAGGGGATCTCGTGTGCCGAACCTATCCCTCCAGCTCACCGTGATTACGATGTCTCGTGATATGTATGGCTCCCAACGGATCCGAACCCTTGATCGCTCCACCCGCTAATATCCAACGGCAGTCGCTGGCCGGGAGAGACAGCTTGTTTTGTTTGAATTTTGAATTCGCGTTGTTATGCTTCCGAGTCAGGCAATGGCTTTGAATTATGAGTAGCTCCACTTCTTTTCTCTCTTCTGAACTTCTTTGAATTTCCCCACACGACAGGCTTACGAGGGCGACTAAACTCGGGTTGATGGTGATACTACCATCACCTTGGTCCTGTTAGGAAGGCTTTTATTCCTGCCGGAATGGAGAAACCGCAGGTTGGGAGTCCAGAAGCGGGCTGTTCTGATTAATGACGACGAAAGCGAGTAGCTAAGCGAGTCCAGCAGCTCTAGTGACTCTTGTAACGAAACGGACAGCGACAGCGACAGTGAATGCAATTGCGATAGCCGGCGATAGTAGAAGAGTAGGGATACTGTTGACAGCGACAGCACCAATTTCTGGGGGGTGGACTAAGGCGAAACGTTTGTCGATGGCGAGAGGCCCTTATTCCAGCAATGCCAGGAATCGAACGAGCTCCAGATGCAGAGTGTCAAACGATGCGAGCTCGAAGAGTCTGGGAAAGAAGGCCGCTGACAATTTGAACGATCATCGAAGGTGTATTTCGACTTCCGATGCGTACACGAAGGCCTTTTCCTTGATTCGGAGTACGTCATCCATGTCTTTCCTACTAGTTCGGAGTTGGTAACAACTGAACACACCCTTGCAGATCGCAACTAACGCGCTGAAAGCACCGATTGTACCTTCCCGAGAAGAATATACTAAATGCTACCTGGTGACTCTGACTGCAGCGGGAGAATGGAGCAAACTGACGATCGACCTTTGCAAGGCTTACCTCAGACATCACGGTCTACGTTTGAGCGACCCTAAGGCGGAACTGATCAATCGCATCCAGAAGCATGCGGAGTACGTCTCTCAAAGGGTGACATGCATCAGTGTTTCAGAAGCTCTTGCAGTTGAAGCAATCGCGATAGGCATATCCAAAGGATGCATAATCAGTTGTTCGTGTGGACACTTCAGACCATCAACACGCTCAGCTGTCTCTGCCTGTGTCCTTTTTTTTATTCATCTCTTAACAGGCTTAGAGACTTCACTTCAGCAAAGCGCAAGTACCCTCGAGGCTCTTTCTGCATCAACTGTACAGGTAATCAGGTCTTCTTATCCTACCGCCAGTAAGAGTGGCTAATGGTAGCTTGTGTTGATTACCCCTGTTTTGTCATGTCTCCTCCAACATTCTAAAGGTGACGTTTGCAGACATGATACCGTCCTCTTCAAGCAGCTAATTCCCCATCAGTAAGATCAACTTATGCAAGCGTTCCTGATGATACCTTGTGCCAATAACTCTTTCTTGTGCCACATGGCCTTCAACCTTTTACAGGTGACGTTTGCAGGCAGGATACTGTCCTCTTCAAGCAGCAAATTCCCCAAAAGTGAGATCAACTTATGCAAACCTTCGTATGCAGTAAACTACATTTCTCACGTGTTTGATTCAATCAAGTGCTTCGTTGACAGTGCATTCAATGGTCTGTGCAGGCACAACAATGAGTCAAATTATCCAGGGTATCGCTTGGTGGCGGGGAGAGTGGTGAAGGAGAGCTATGGCGTCAAGAAGCAACAGCACACCTTCACTGTAAGCACTTCCGCTTTCTAGCAGCAGCGGACTGTAATGGGATGATCGCATTTCGACTGACAAATTAACAGGAAGAGTGGCCAAGGAGAGCTGACTTTTAAAGAAGCAACAGCACACTCTCGCTGCAAGCACGTCCACTTCTATTTTAATCGCAAGGTCACTGTTACTATAAAAAACGATCTCTCAGTACACCTTTTGCTCTGTTGTTGGGGCTCTGATCCACGGAATGTTTTTTGCAGGTGGAGGTCATTTGGAGCTCGGGCATGCAGCCGTTGCCTCCAATGACTCAACTTCTTGTCAAGGGGAGAGTGCTCTACAGACATAAAACATATCGCCAGGTAACTTCACGTGGTCATAATTTCACATGGTCCTAATTGCAACTGATCATACTTTCAAATGAAAAGAACATGAGGTCGCACGCCAGCAACAACCTAAAAAAATCACTTTCAGAATGAGCACTCAACTTGTTGCTCTCCAGATCAGATTCATCAGCCCTTTCTCCAATGACTGTCCTGACTCTCTTCCGTTTCTCCCGTTTCGCCCATTTATCCCATTGCGGCTGCTGCTGCCGTCTATGCCTGCAGAAATGGCCCAATGAGGCGGAACGAGTAGCAGCCGTTGTAGAGAAGCATGCAAGAGGAGACGAGGCTCGCAGTGTCCGCCTAAAGCGGCTTGAGAACAAGCAATCCGGAAGGCGACTAGAGAGCAAGCAAAAGAGAAGGGCTCTAGGGAAATGGCCGAGTACAAGACGGGGACCACAGGGACGGTCAAGTCGTCCCCTCCCCGTCAGCAGTAGGAGGGGGAAACGCCCACGGTCTGGAACAGGGTGAGCTCCACTCACGGTGGTGCCTGAGCATGTATGCTTGCTAAATATCCGTGCTTGAGCAAGATATGCTTGGTGAAGGCCTGTGCTTGAGCAGAGACGGGCAGAAGGGTCTGCGTAGGAAGTAGCATTAGGGTGAATGCACTACATGAAGGGCACGTTTCTGTTTGAGCGGTTGGTCCTGTTGCACCGCTTCTACCCCATTCCTCTCTACCCCTCCCATTCAATCCTCTCTCTCACTCATGCGCACACACACCCATGCATCCCTCCCAATTTGCAGCATGCCTTTGGATTCTCTCTTCTCCCTGTATTTTCAAACACTCTCCCTACCTACCCTCTCATCCCAAATCCACCCTTCTCTTTACCGCCCTCTCCTCTACCCCCCTCCCTCTTCCACTCTCTCTACCACTCTCTCACCACTCTACCACTCTCTCATCCTAGTTTCTTGCACTTCGCTTCCCCCATCACAACTAAGGGGTCTGCTGGTCACAGTCAAGCCAAGAAAAAGGTCAAACACGAGGTGACTTTCGAGCGAACTCAAAAGTCATTTGGCTTCCCTTCCCCCATCACAACCAGGTGGTCTGCTGGTTACAAGCAAGCCAAGAAAAGGAAGGTCTAACACGTTTTGGTTTCCTGCATGCAGTGAAGTGCAGGAATGCTGCACAGTGAAGGACTGTAGCTGTTTTATGTATGGAATGGAAAGGCATTGTACACTTGCACTCTGAAAGGAATGTTGTTACTGGTGCTGGATTTGTGAGTAGCAGTGCAAACTCGGACATGAGAGGGAGAATGCATGCGGTACGTAGGTCAGTGCATGTATCTAGCCAATGCCTTGCAAGAACAATTTTTAACTGTCCCCTATTGCATTCTCCTAAACCCATGCGCTATAGAAAGTTGGCTTTTTTGCACAATGAATCATAGGATCTTGAGGCTAGCCATTATAGATTCGATTAGGCCAATTCGAATTGACTTTCTACAATCATCACAGTGAAGAACATTCCACAATGGTATGCACCATACAGGAACCTCCATACCGAGTAGTCTGAATTTAGTCACCCAAATTTCACCTTTCTGAATTTCACCTCTCCCAGAAAATGCTCAGCCTTCAGAGCGCGAAGTCTCGGGATATTCTGAGCGTTTGCTTGGAGTCTAGGGGTTTTCTCGGAGGAACCTTGCTACATTGCTTCACTGCTAGTCGGAGGAACCCCAGAGATTCCCGCCGCTTCTGGCGCGTTCGGGCAGGCGAAGAATATAGAGTGACCAAGCGATTCTCGCTGGCGTTTTTCTGCCTCGCCCCGACTAGATCGCGATCAGTTTCCTGCCCTTGAAATATGAATCGAGCAACTTGTAGGGAAAAAGCTCCGGGCTTCTGTCTGCCTCCCCTAGCGCTCGTCGAGACACTCATTCTTCTGCAAGGAGGCACGCTATTTTCGTAGGACTCTGAAAACGCGATCTGACCATGCGGGCAGCGGAAGTCAAATTTCTCGCGCCGAAGCCCTGCCCGAACCCTCCGAGAGATTCGATCAGCCAGCAAAATCGTTTGAAATGTTTGCCCAGAAAATTCCTTTCGAGCCGGGCAGCATGTTAGCACACTGCTCAGAAGTTCCCCCAGGCTGCGAGTCGGGCAGCTGGCCCAGAAATCTCGTTCCTCCCATTCCGTCCGTCGGGCAGTCCCTTGTGTTCCTCCTCTCCCTCTCATCTGCCTGTCTCCTCCGCTCGCCTCACCTACAAAGCTGCAGTCCCACCACCCAGTCATTTCAGTCTCTTTTTCGGATTCCTTCAGCCTTTTCAGCAAGCTCGAGCCTCCTGTTCTTCTCGCCTATTCGGTGCTACTACCGCTGAAGCTCTGCTCTCAGAGCTTCTAACTTCTCGTTTGTTTCTCCTTCTCGAATTCCGCTAACTTTTTATGGGCGCTGAGCAAAGGTCCTTCGCTGAACTTCTTAGCCTCTGGAGGAGCCGGACTGAACCGCTGCAGACGCGGGTTCAAAATCCGCTGGTCTCGTCGACTCCCCGTCTGGCTGCAGAGGAGGAGGATTCGCAGATTATGGCTTCTGATGACGGCATGGAAGTTGGATTTGCTGCAGAGAACAAGGACTTGCGGATTGAAAGCGAGCAGAGCAGCACCTGCAGCAACGACAGCAGCACTGCTGACGACGCTAGCAGCGCCTGCAGCCACAACACCAGCACCTGGAGTAACGAGAGCAGCACTGCTGAAGACAGCATCATGACTCTTCTGAGCAACTCGAGCAGCAGCTTCGGTGATGTTATCTGCAGCGGTAACATCCTTACCGAGGTTACCAGTGCTTTCAACAGCAACTGCAGCTGTGACTTGAGCAGTGACTTCAACAGTCCTGGCTTCAACGGTGTCAGTTCGTCTGCACTGACTGCAGATGCGGCTGCTGTTGTGGAATCCGCTTCAACCACTCGCCTGCTGGTTGCAGCTCAGAGCTCAGTCACGAAAGTGTCTCTGGCCAGCTTGAGGCTGCTGCCTTCTCGCATTCCCAAGCCTGGCAGCACACGAGCACCTGATGTGAAGGCTGCTCCTGTGGAGAAGCACACACTGAAAACATCTGCTGCTTTTGAGTGTGGTCAGGAAGACGCAGCACAGAGGCAACAGGGGAGAGTTGGTCTGAAGTGTGTGGTGAGGAAGGGCCCTGTCAGGCTGACAAGGTCACCATCACCGGCAATAAGGCCTCCCTGGAGGCCTTGAAGGCGGACCATTCATGGCTGTACTAGTGTGTGATGTACTGCTGTGCTCCTGATATGGTAGCAAGCACTATGTAGGTGGTACTAGCTTTGTACAATTCTTTACCTGCTGTATTTCTGGTTATGAATCTTTGTACTGGAGGCCATGATTGGCTGTTTGTATAATTGACAAATTGAGATTGCTAGTACTGTCTGTCAACTTACACATATGTTAATATGTAGAAGTTATTGTCAACTTATACATATTATCTATGTAGAAGTTATAGGCTAGACTGAGGTATGCTTCTAGTGAGTACAACCAACTAGTATTTGTTCTAGGTTTCCACCTCTAGTAATCATTCGTTTCTACGTTAACATGGTATCACGCTTAGGTTAGGATCCCCCCGCCTACCGCTTCCGCCCGTCGCGCCTCCTAGGCCCCGTCGCGCCCCCTAGGCCCCGTCGCGCCCCCCCTGGGCCCCGTCGTGCCCGCTGGGCCCCGTCGCGCCTCCTAGGCCCCGTCGCGCTCCCCCTGGGCCCCGTCGCGCCCGCTGGGCCCCGTCGCGACCCCTAGGCACTAACGCGCCCCCGCTGGGCCCCGTTGCGCCTCCTAGGCCCCGTCGCGCCCCCCACGGGCCCCGTCGAGCCCGCTGAGCCCCGTCGTGCCTCCTAGGCATCGTCGCGCCTCCTAAGCCCCGTCGCGTCCCCCCCCCTCTGGGCCCCGCCGCGCCCGTTCGGCCCCGTCGCGCCCCTCCTAGGCCCTGTCGTGCCCGCTGGGCCCCGTCGCGCCTCCTAGGCCCCGTCGCGCCCCCTCTGGGCACCGTCGCGCCCGCTGGGCCCTGTCGCGCCTCCTAGGCCCCGTCGCACCCGCTGGGCCCCTTCGCGCTTCCTAGGCCCCGTCGCGCCTGCTAGGCCCCGTCGCGCCCCCCCTGGGCCCCGTCGCGCCCGTTAGGCCCCGTCGCGGCCCCCCCTGGGCCCCGTCGTGCCCGCTGGTCCCCGTCGCGCCTCCTCGGCCCCGTCGCGCCCCCCTGGGCCCCGTCGTGCCCGCTGGGCCCCGTCGCGCCCCTTAGGCCTCGTCGCGCCCGCTGGCCCCTGTCGCGCCTGCTGTTAGCACTCGCCTGCCTGGCCTCCTAGTGCCGCTCGGCCTCCTCCTAGTGCCGCCCGGCCCCTTCCTAGCGCCGCCCGGCCTCTCCTCAGCGCTGCCCGGCCCCTCCTCGTGCCCGACCGGCCCCAGCAGCACCAGCCTCGCCCCTCCCAGCACCAGCCCGGCCCCAGAGCACCTGCCCGCCTCCCCTGCTCGGCCTGCCGTGTCCTCTCGGGCCCTGTGTCTTCTGCTCGCCTGCGCTGGAACGCCTAGCTGCTGCCCTACTGGAGAGTGCTGCCGCTGTGTCCCCGCGCCGCTGTGCTCCTGTGCCGCTGAGGAGCTGTGCTGCTGTGCCGCTGTGTCGCTGAGGAGCTGTGCCGCTGACCCTGCACGATGGCTGACTTTGTGCTCCGCCTGGACGCTGAGGGCCACGCGGTTGACTTCGCCGCCTGGCTCTCCGATCTCCGCCGCCAGCTTACAGGTCAGCGCCAGGATGGCCACTCTCTGGTTGTCCATGCTGATGGCTTGCTCCCCCGTCCCCCTGCACCTACTCCCCTCCCTGCTGACCCCTCCTCTGATGACCGTGAGGCTTTCTCTACTGCTGCGCTGGCCTGTGCGGTCTGGGACTCACGCGATGCAGTAGCTCAGGTTGCTATTAGTCACGCCCTCCCTGTGTCTGAGCGCTCGCGTTTTGCTACTGTTGAAACGGCCAAAGCTTATTTAGACGCCGTTATTGCTCGCTATTCCACCCCTGCCTCCGCTTCTGCTGGCCGCTTGCTCTTTCCGATGCTGTTCCCAGACCTGGCTGCCTTCCCTACTGTCGCAGACTTTGCCACTCATTTGCGTGCCCTAGAGACTCGCTATCGCACTGCCAGCACTGCTGCCCAGCTCACTGCGCTCCCCCCTCCTTTCTGCATGACGCTCTATTTTATCGCTATGCGCCTGCCAGACCGCCTCGCTAGTGCTCGCGACCACTTTCTTAGCCAGCACCCGGGTGACCTCACCCTGATCGCCTTTGTCGACACCCTCACTGAGATCGAGACTCGCCAGCGCACTATCGCTCAGTCGAGCGGTGCGCCGGCAGTCTCTATCTTTCACGGCTGTGCCCCATCCCAGTGCACGTTCACTGACGTTTCGGCTGCGGTCGCCACGGCGACCCCTCTTACCGAGACGGCTGCTGCTGTCCACCCGCAGCAGCGCTCGCGTCGCGGTGGCCGTGGCCGCCAGGGAGGTAGGGGTGGTGACGCAGGTGGTAGTGGTCGTGGTGGTGGTGACGGTAGTCCGCCTGAGGGGACTACCACCGGTGGGCAGGAGCAGCAGCCCCAGCAGCAGCAGGACCAGCCCCAGCCGCAGCCGCCGTCCCAGCAGCACCCGCCGCAGCCGTGGGCTCGTCTCCCGCCTGGTTGGCCCGGCACCTCCGGAGGCGGTGGCCGTGGTGGCGGCCCGCGCAGCTTGGCGTCTACCAGCGGCTCCAGTGCTGTGACCTGCCAGTACCAGCTTCAGACCGGGCCTCTCCGCGGCACTCTGTGCCGCCGCCCGCACCCGACCGCCCGCTGTTTCCGCCGCCTCGACGATCTTTTTCGTCGTCGCTTTGGCCCGGCCCCGGACCTCCCTGACTGGCACAGCCTACTCCGCCAGGGCGTGCCGATCTTTGAGTTAGACATGGATCAGATAGGTGCTGCTTTGCATGCTTTGTATGCTGACGCTTCTAGTGTTGCTGGATCTTACTACCCTGTGTACTCTAGTTTAGGTGTTTCACCCTTGTGTAGCTTAGCTTCCCCTGCTGCGACAGGCGTAGGACTGCCTAGGTTGCCTAGTCTAGTCGCTGCACCGGCTCCGTCCCCGGCCTCCGCCACTGCGTCGCTGTCCTTCACTCTCGACTCTGGTGCTTCTGCCTGCTTCTTCCACGACCGTTCCACGCTCACGCCGCTTGCTGCACCTGCTGTTGTCTCTCTCGCTGACCCCTCTGCGGGTCCGGTCGTCGCGCGCAGTTCTACGTCCCTTCCTTGTCCGGCAGTTCCCTCGGGCTCCCTTACTGGCCTCCACGTTCCCTCGTTCTCCAGGAACCTGGTTGGTGTCGGCTGTCTCCAGGACCTCGGCGTCACCACCACGTTCCCCGGGCACGAGCGGTTCGCTGTCTGTTCTGAGGCTGTCTCAGGTTCCCCCCTTGCGACGTTCCCCCGGGACCCGGTGTCCGGTCTGTTTACCCTACACACCGCTTCCCCCCCGGTTGGTGCGTCCTCCCAGGTCGCTGCAGCTTGCTCGTGTCGGTCCCTCACTCACCCCTCCCTTCTCTGGCACCACCGCTTAGGTCACCCTGCTCTCCCGCGTCTGCGTCACATGTCCCAGCACGGTCTTGTCTTAGGTCTCCCCGCGTCGCTCCCTGCCCTTCCTCCCTCGACTGCGCCACCGTGCACGCCTTGCGTCGAGGGTCGGCTCCGCCGTGCTCCTCACTCCTCCTCGCTGCGTCCTGCTACTGCCCCCCTTCAGACCCTGCACTTGGACGTTTGGGGCCCTGCCCCCGTCCCCGGACCGCGCGGTGAGCGCTACTTCCTTGTGCTCGTCGACGACTACACGCGCTACACCACGGTGTTTCCCCTGGAGCGGAAGGCCGACGTGCCCGACGTTCTTCTCCCGTGGGTTGTGGCTGCGCGTCTCCACCGCGGTCTCCCCGTGTTGTGTCTCCACTCCGACCGTGGCGGCGAGTTCGCCTCTGGTCGGCTTGGACAGTTCTGTCGTGCGGAGGGCATCACCCAGTCGTACACGTTGCCGGACTCGCCACAGCAGAATGGGGTTGCTGAGCGCCGCATCGGCTTGGTCATGGAGGTCGCCCGTACCTCCATGATCCATGCCGATGCCCCCCATTTTCTGTGGCCGTTCGCTGTTCGCTACGCGGCTCACCAGCTTAACCTGTGGCCACGCTCCCAGCGGCCGCAGGTTTCGCCGACCCTCCTTTGGACCGGGTCCCCCGGTGACGCGTCTGCGTTCCACGTCTGGGGCTGCCTTGCTCACGTTCGTGCCTCTGGCACGGACAAGCTCACTGCCCGTACTGTCCCCTGTGTCTTCCTCGGTTTCCCCCTGGACTCGTCTGACTGGCTTTTCTACCACCCGCCGTCTCACCGCTTCCTCCACTCTCGTGACGTCACCTTTGACGAGTCCGTCTCCTTCTACCGCCGCTTCCCTCACCGAGGTCTCCCAGTTGCCCCCCCCCTTTTCCTTGCTCCCTCTCCCCCGGTAGCCCCTGCCCCTCTCCCGCCTCGTCCTGCCCCGTCTGGTGTCTCCCACGTCACTCCCCTCCCGTCGGTTGTCCCCGTTGAGGAGTCTGCTGACTCTGGTGGTACCCCCGGTCCGTCCTTGCAGCGTCCCCCTTCCCCGGTGCCTCCGCCCCCACTGTCGCAGTCGCCGACCCCGCTGCCGCCGCCGTCGCCGTCGCCGCCGCAGCCGTCGCCGCTGTCGTCGCCGCCGCCGCCGCTGTCGCTGCCGCAGCCGTCGCCGCTGTCGCCGCCGCCGCAGCCGTTGCCGCCACTGCCGCCGCTGCTCTCGGCCCCTGGGGGTGCTGGTGTGGAGGAGGGTGTTCGTCCTGCGGCTTCTGGGGGTGCCGCTGGTGTTGGAGGGGGTTCTCGCTCTGGGGGTGTTGGTTCTGGGGGTGCTGCTGTTGAGTGTTCTGCCGACGGTCGTTCTGCCTCTGCTGGTCCGAGAGTTCCGGCCCAGCCGTCGTCGCCGCCGCAGCAGCCGTCGCCGCCGGTTTCCGCTCTCCGCCTGCTCGGCCTTCCCTCCCCGGACCGCGCGCCGGTGTCTCCCCCACCGCCTCCTGACCTTTCTGTCTACGGTCCTGTGTTCCCGCCGCCAGACTCGTCTCCGGCCCGTCTTCCTCCTCGTTCCCCTCGTGTGTCTCCTCCGCTGTCCCCTGACCCTACCCCTCCGTCTCACGTTTGGGCTCGCCGTCCCTCCCGTGCTCGTCCCGTCTCTCCTGTCCTGCCCACCCACCCTACGTTGCTCCGTTCCCACTCGTCTCGTCCTCCCCTCCTCCCGTCCCCTCCTCCCTCGTCCCTTGCTGTTGCACCTCCTCCGTTCTCTGACTACCTCCGTGCTGCTCGTCCCCTT